ACACCCACTGTCCTCTTTTTGGAAAACTAAAATATGGTCACCCTAATTTAGTTAAGAGCAGTGAGAGATTTTCTCTCTTTTGTTGTTTGATTAAAATGAATGACAGACAGCGAGAATAGACTACTGTCACTTTAAGAGCTGCCCGGATCCAATATACTGTTACACATGTTTTTTTTCTCAGCTGTTTGCTTTCACTTAAGACCTAAATTATTGTGTTTACAAGGATGCTTGCAAAGACGGGCATTTTGACCATTCAAGGCTTATAAAGTGGCAAAATTAACTCCGTTCAATACTCTGTTGCGCTCTATGAGCACCGTCTTCACGTGCGGTAACCTCTCTGACATCGCTCTCAGACAGAGCACACATATAGCAAAATTAGTTCTTTTTTACTGCTGATTGCATTCCAACAGCTTAAAATCACTTGTTTTTAAACTGCAATGCTTAAAACGCGTGCAAGTGATACGTTTTCGTGACCATATAGCGCAGTAAACGTCACGAGAGCGTGTAACCGCGATAGAGACGATAGTCCAAAATCTCTACCGGTTGACAAATTTCTACCGGTTAATCATGTCTACTGGTATTCTTACTCATGATATTCTTACTCATGATATTCTTACCGATTACTTCTCTGATAGGACAACTGTGTGCTAGTCCCCAACGTCAATCAGAAGAACATTGATCAGGATGATTATGGAGATGCTTGTGATAATTGCCGTCAGGTAAAAAACAATGACCAGAAGGACACCGATAGCGATGGCCAGGGTGATGAATGTGATGATGACATTGATGGGGATGGTAAGTCTTCAGATAGGAAACATCATTAGGGTAATATGAACATTTGCATTGGTCAAACTGAGATGTTGTGTTTTGCTTTTCAGGAATCAAAAACGATAAAGATAATTGCAAAAAGGTGCCAAACCGTGACCAGAAAGATAGAGACGGTGATAATGTTGGTGATGCTTGCGACAGCTGCCCCTACGTCCGCAACCCTGATCAGGTCTGATTAACACCCTACGCTCTCTAACTCTGAAGGTGATGGAGGTGGAATCAAACTAAGAAATTGAGGCATTACGTAACCCATAATTCTCCTTCTTTCTGCCACAGATGGATGTGGATAATGACTTGATTGGCGATCCTTGTGACACTAACAAAGATAGGTATTACATCACTCCAATTGGTGATTTTCATTGCTCACACCCCATAATGAGTACGTTCAATTTGATGCTTTGGTTTCTATCATTAGTGATGGAGATGGGCATCAGGACTCTCGAGACAACTGTCCTGCAGTTATCAACAGCTCCCAGCTGGACACGGACAAGGATGGCATTGGAGATGAATGTGATGATGATGATGACAACGATGGCATTCCCGATCTCCTTCCACCCGGTCCGGACAACTGCCGTCTGGTTCCAAACCCACTGCAGGAGGACTTAGATGGTCAGGCTTTAATGTTTGGAAACTTCACTTTACATCAAACTGTTGATCTTAAAGGGTTAATTCACCCAAAAATGAAAATTCTGTCATTAATTACTCACCCTCATGTTGTTCCAAACCCGTAAGACCTTCGTTCATCTTCGGAACACAAATTAAGATATTTTTGATGAAATCTGAGGGCTCTCTGACCCTCCCATAGACAGTAAGGTAACTACCATCCAGAAAAGTACCAAGATGATTGACAAAGTAGTCCGTGTGACATCAGTGGTTCAACTGTAAAGTTACGAAGTTACAAGAACGACTTTATTCCACATTTTCGTCTCTACTGCATCACTTGTGGACGCGCGTTCACGACAGTATCATGACGCGATTAATGACAGAATTTTCATTTTTGGATGAACTAACCCTTTAATCTCATTATTCTTAATAAAATAATGTCCTGTTCAAAAGACCAGCTTATGCAGTGATTTGGAATATGGAATTCTGGTGTCCCCACCAGGCTTCTTAACTAGTTTAACCAAGAAGACTTGATCAATCTTGACCAACTCCTAACCAGCAGGGAAATTCATTCGGATCTAATTTGTTCTTTTCAGCTTGGAAATGGATCTTTAGTCATTTTCTGATCTTGTTGACTTGTCAAATCAGTCATCCGCTTCATTTTCTTGACTTTTGGTTTACAGGTGATGGGATTGGCAACGTTTGTGAGAATGACTTTGACAATGACACATTTAGTGACATCATTGATGTTTGTCCTGAGAACACTGAGGTGACTCTCACTGACTTCAGAACCTATCAGACTGTGGTTCTGGATCCAGAAGGAGATGCGCAGATCGATCCAAACTGGGTGGTGCTCAATCAGGTCTGTCCGCTTCTTTCTGCCTCATGGAGATTTTGCACCCAAAGTTCTCACAGTATAAACTTTACCAAGGAATGCTCATCTTTTTCAACAGGGAAGAGAGATTGTTCAGACCATGAACAGTGATCCTGGACTGGCTGTAGGTAAAAGACTATAGCTGGGTTTCCATCCAAAGTTGTGAATTTAACTTGTGCGCAAAATTGAAATATTACATAAAATATTTGCAAATAAAGCATCGTTTCCATCCAAGAGAACAAAATTGTCACTTCCTGATAAACTGGCACTAAATATCAGTAAGAAAAGTAGAATATAATAACACTGAATATAATCATTTTCATATATAATAAATTAGACTGAGCAGATGAAACACAATAAAATGCGGTGATTTCTTTCAGAGGTGGATGCCTGCTTTTTGGGAACGCAGTCCTGTAGGACAGTTCTGGGAGGCAATTATAGCAAAGTATTTTGACAACAGACTTTGCGTGGGAATTTAAGAATGACCATAACAACATTTCATATGGCTGTGCAGCAAAATCAGTCCACTAGTTTGTCCCATAGCACAAAGTTACATGACTTTTTTGATGCGCATGGAGGAATTTATTCAGCAAATGCACTTCCATCTCCCATTATTCACATTAACCCTTTATTGCACAAGCCAAAAACCACTTGAAGTGAGCGTCAAATTTTTATTTTTTTTTTGCAAATTAAAGGATTTTTCCCCCCCGAAATTTGGCATTTACATCACTCGTTTCTGATGTGATACTTCAAAATGCGCATAAAACAGGGTGATGGAAACATAGCTTATGACAAGAAAAACAAACTGTTTCCTTCTGGTTACTCTTAACAGGCTACACGGCATTCAATGGTGTGGACTTTGAAGGGACGTTTCATGTGAATACTGAGACGGATGATGACTACGCAGGCTTTATCTTTGGCTATCAGGACAGCTCCAGCTTCTATGTGGTGATGTGGAAGCAAGTGGAGCAGATATATTGGCAAGCCAATCCTTTCCGAGCTGTAGCTGAGCCTGGCATCCAGCTGAAGGTGTGATCTGGTTTCTTTAATTACAGAGTAACAACTTATTTAATTTCTTATGTTTAATATGGTACTTGTTTCTGTATTTTGTTGGTAGGCAGTGAAATCCGACACGGGACCCGGAGAAAACCTGCGGAATTCACTCTGGCACACAGGTGACTCGACAAACCAGGTGAAACTCTTGTGGAAAGATTCCAGAAATGTTGGCTGGAAAGACAAGACCTCCTACCGCTGGTTCCTGCAGCACAGACCCCAAGAAGGCTACATCAGGTAGAATCAGATTGGACGATGTTTCATCTGCAAATCATCCTGTCATAGCAATATACATGTTTAGGTAAACACTCTGCATATCTTGCATACAGGGTTCGGTTCTATGAAGGTCAGCAGATGGTAGCAGATACAGGAATTATCATCGACACAACCATGAGAGGAGGCAGACTGGGAGTATTTTGCTTCTCCCAGGAGAACATCATCTGGGCCAACCTGCGCTACAGATGCAATGGTCAGTTCTTTTAATTAAATACCTTTTGCATACATTAAAAATGGAAACAAGTGTACACTCACTCAAAGAGCTTAGCATCAGGCCTTCAAATTTTCATGTAATATGAACTCCCAACATTCACAAAGTTCTACACATCCTCAGCCGCTTGTGTGTTCATTTATTTTGGCTCATTTGAAAATACACAATATGGACAAAAGTATTGGGAGACATACCGCTTAATTATTGAATTCAGGTGTTTCAATCAGACCCATTTCCACAGATGTATAAAATGAATCACCTAGCTATGCAGTCTGTATTTACAAACATTTGTGGAAAAAATGGGTCATTCTGAAGAGCTCAGTAAATTCAAGCTCAGTATGCCACCATTGCGATAAGCCAGTTTGTGAAATTTCACCCCTGCTAGATATTCCACGGTCAACTGTAAGTGGTATTATTGGAAAGTAGAAGCATTTAGGAAAGGCAGAAACTCAGCCATGAAGCAGAAGACCATGTAAAGTTGCAGAGCAGGGTCAACGAGTGCATATGCTGCTTCCATAGCTGAAGAGTTACAAACTCGCCACAAAAACTGTGTGGTTGGAGCTTAATGTAACGGATTTCAATGGCAGAGCAGCTACATGCAAGCATCACATCACCAAGCGTCAGATAGAGTGGTGTAAAACACACCACCACTGGACTCTGGAGCAGTGGAAACCTGTTCTGTGATGAGTGACGAATCACACTTTTCTGTTTAGCAGTCAGATTGGCGAGTCTGGGTTTGGCTGATGCCAGGTGAATGTCACCTGCCTGACTACATTGTGCTGACTGTAAAGTTTGGTGGAGAGGGATAGTTTGGTGGCTGTTTTTTAGGGGTTGGACTAGGCTCCTTAAGTCCATTGAAGGGAAATCTTGATTCTGTAGCGTACTAAGACATTTCGGACAATGATATGCCCCCGTGCACAAAGCAAGGACCATAAAGACGTGCTTGGATGAGTTTGGTGTGGAAGACCTTGACTGGCCCACACAGACCCAACTGACCTCAACCCCACTGAACACCTTTGGGATGAACTGGAACAAACCAGGCCTTCTCATCCAACAGGTTCTACTGGATGAATGGGCAAAAATTCCCACAGAAACTTGTGGAAAGCTTCCCAGAAGAGTGTAAGCTGTTGCCATTACAATGTGACCCTGGAGCACAAAACCAGTCATAAGTCGCTGGGGTATATTTGTAGCAATAGCCAACAATACATTGTATGGGTCAAAATGATCTATTTTTCTTTTATGCCAAAAATCATTAGGTTATTAAGTAAAGATCATGTTCCATGAAGATATTTTGTACATTTCCTACCATAAATATATCAAAACTTAATAATATGCATTATTATACTTAGTAATATGCATTGCTAAGGACTTCATTTGGACAACTTTAAAGGTGATTTTCTCAATATTTTAATTTTTTGCACCCTCAGATTCCAGATTTTCAAATAGTTGTATCTCAGCCAAAGATTGTCCTATCCTAACAAACCATACATCAATGGAAAGCTTATTTATTATAAATCTCAATTGACCCTTATGACTGGTTTTGTGGTCCAGGGTCACATATTGAAATCTATTGCTGTGTCCCAACATGCATACTATCTGTCCTAAATAGTATTCGAAAATAGAATTAGTGTGCCCCAAATCGTAGTGTGTTGAAATGAGTATGCCAAAGATTCCCAGATGTTCTACTATACTTCCAGTTAGAATTCGAAGTGCATATCGATGCATACTCTAACGGCTAATATTGCCCGCAACACATTGCGTGTTTGACAAGGATTCGATTAGAACTACAAACACACATAAAAAGTGTTAAAAAACTACAAACATGGTGGATATGCGAGAAGGATAGACAGGTAGAGAAAGGGGTTTGAGTGATAATCAATGTCTAACCTGATGAAAAAGTATTTATTTTGTTATCCATGTTATATTTAATCTGCAGCAACATTGTGAAGTTTTCTAATGATATGTTTGTTCATTAACTTTTAAATGCATCATTATGCAAACACATGTTAAAGTTACGATGAAGAAATATGTCCCAAAGCTATACTATTCTGCTACATACTCAAAAGTATGTACTTTTTCTTCACAAAAAGACTACATACTTTTAGGGCATAGTATAAGAAGGTGAATTGGGATGCAGCATATGTATTTAGAATGCAAACCTCCTTGTTGGCGTAATGGTCATGTGTCCCAGTAGTTTTGTTCATATAGTGTACTTCAAGCTGCCAATAGGAGTATAGTACTCCCAGATCTGTTGAAAACAAGTTATCATGAAATGGAAATTCTATTTATATTCTGCTTTATTGATACACATTCCAGGTCTTTTAGCATGATTCCCTGGAGCATGTTATTCCAAATTTATGACAGAAAGTAATAATTTCACAATCCATCTTCTTCCGGTGGCCTCGCTTTTCACGATCCACTTCCCAATAGATTTTCTTTGAGCTTCATATAGATGATAAAGAATTTTCTCTTGAAGTCAGCACAGAATCACCTCATCTGGAGCTGCTCATTTTTGTCTTTTATCTAAATATATTACGAGCATACAAAATTCAGTCACATCTGAGGAGAGAATTAATAAATCAGCTGTCTTGTATTTGTTCTTTTTTTATGCAGATACAATCCCTGAGGACTTTGAGACATTCAGAAGCCAGCAAATCCAGCTTTTTTGAACCCAATCTCAACAGTTCTTTTTTACAAGATTAATGAATGTGAGTTGTATATTTCTGTCATATTATATACTCCATTTTTTATACTTTGTGAACAGTAGAGCTTTAAGTAACCCCCTAATGACAGACTAACCTAAATTAATGACACTGCATTAGCACTGAGAATTTAAATATATATATATGTATTTTAAAAACACGTACAGAAATACAGGTTACAAAATATAAATGATATAACAAGAAGGCTCTGATATATGCAGCTGAGACATCATGCACATCCATATTTAGCTTTTTTTTTTTCTGAGAAAGGAAAAGGACCAGCAAAACGACAAAGACGAAATCAGTTCCTTCTACAATCAGTTACCACAAATAGGAGACAAAGATGACCACACCAGCACAGTGACTATAGAACTGGGACCCAATAAAAGCTCTAGACAACCACAAATTATATGTCCTAATATACCGTTAACTCCAATAAAGAGCGAGCACTGTTAATGCTCACGAAATGAGAGATCACAAAGATTCGATGCACATTCTGTAACCTAACACTCTCACAAGCTCTTCGTTTACAGTGTCTTTTAATACGTATTAAACCTGCCTTAAGTGAGATGACAGTTGGCGAAATAAAAAGTATATCATCTTTACAGAAAGAAATCCATGTAGATAGCACTTAGTTTATGCTAATGCTATGATTTAAGGGGAAGGGTTGTTATACTGCTCAGCTCTATACTATGGGTCACTATCGGTACGTTTATCAAGAAATACATCCCATCTAGTCAGCTACGTACTTAATGGTACGGACATGGTAATCATGATCACTAACTGCTCAGCAGTTCTATTAAGGCTTAAAGGGGAATTTACGCTAAAGGGGGTTTGCTTTCACACGAATAATCAGGACACAAATGAACATAAGTGCTAAAACCGCTCCAGTTTGGCTGCATGCCGCATGTGCATCAACAACAGATTATTTGTCCAATAAACACATGCAGTCTGCCCACATCTCCTAATGTTTCACAGGTTAAAGCAACAAACAGACTGAGCCCTTTTTTCGGTTTGCATTGGGAATTCACATATACATATATACGCTTCCAGAATTGTTTTCCCTCTGAATTATCAGTGCAATACAGAAAACGGTTCACAAAGAACACCTTCACGATAAACCGGGGTGGGGGGAACGCATGTACAGGGTCGAACAGTCGGCATTCTCAGAAGGTGAAACAGTCCAAGTTTCATGAGCAAAGCTGCGGCTGAAGTTTCCAGAAGCAGCAGCCAGAAGATTTAGAAGAAATGCACATACATCAGTATGAAAGCTGCCGTATCTTTGAGATTTCTGACAGGATTTCAGATGGAAACCCAAGATGCAAGGGCCGAGCAAATCGACAGGGCGGGGGAATGACCCAACTGATGATATCAAACATGCTGCAATCGAGATGAGCGGAAAAATGCTACCGTGACCGAAAACGAACAGAAACGTAACAGATCAGGAGAAAAAACAATAGTGCTTTGGTCAAGCAGGTCGTTTGGTGTAATGCACTATCATAACACGGAGCCCCATAAATACATTCTGTTTCTAAACATGATCATAGACGTGGTAAAATGACACCACTAGCATTAACTAATACATGCACTGTGTCTCGGGGGTCTACATTGGTTTATGTGCAGTGAATCTTTGTACTGGAATCAGCCACGCTAATGAAGACTTCATACCAAAAAGCTAACGAAGAGCTCGTTCTAAAGGTTTTTCTCATTTTGACATGCAGTCGTCATATTCCAGTGATAAGCTTTATGTACACTATTTTCAGGAGAGAGACGCGCTCATGGTAAAACATATGAAAACACCATTCTGAATGGCACAGTTTGAAGAAGAAAAACTAAAGCGAGTATTGCAGTTTTTGTTACTTCTAAATAAACTACAGTGTATCCACCATCTGAGCCAATCCCTATTTCTAAGCCCTAAATATACTATTCATATTCAACCAGAAATATTCCAGATTGTTGGTTGATTAATGCTTTTAGATTGCATAGGAATCACAAATTGGATTTGCACAGTTTTAAGAGTTATTATTTCCTTCAAGGACCGAAATGACCAAAATGTATCTGGCTGAACCAAAATTACTAAAACTTTAGCAGGAAACATCTTGTTCAATTGCCAAAAACTTCACCTTGCTCTTCATCCCGTATTATAAACGTTGTTTTTAGACTGACAAGTTAGATACAGTGGGGTCCAAAAAAAAAAAAAATTATATATATATATATTTCTGTCATGACAACTCTCTGAGGGATTGGCATGGTAATGTACATGACAATGTTAATGTATTTGGTCTTGACGGAATAGATCTGCTACGCTGCTGCTGCGGCAGAGCAAGTACCGAGACTTGCTACTGCCAATACATCCTCAACATTCTGCTGTGAGCATCTAAGAAATATTGCTGCTGCAAATATTACATGAAATAATCCCCATATAGCATACATGAATCACCTCGTAGCAGATCTATACAGGTGGAGCTGGGGAAGGTGGAGGGTTTCTGAAGCAAGCTGCACTGCTACGGCAAGCACTAGTCATATATTTGAATGTTGAGCAGCGAGCTCATTGGCTGCCGATACAGGAGAGAACCAGTCAGCTGTGCCATGTGATAATGATGTCATTAGGTCAGATTGAGTTAGACCTATTGGACTGCGCCATCTAGAGTTTCATGCCAGAACTCTGTGTATATTCTGTGGAGGCTTGTTTTCGCCATGGGATAAAAAATAAAAAAGGTAATTGTGACTTTTTATCTCATATTGCTCACTTTTATTCTCTAAATTCTGAGTTTATGGCTTGCAATTCTGTTTTTTTCTTCTTCCACAAAATAAAAAAATAATAAAAAAGGTAATTGCGACTTTTTCTCGCATGACCATGTTTACATATTGCAATTGTAAGATAACATCTTGCAACTGTTTTTTTTTTTTTTTTGCTAAATAAAAAGTCAGAATCATGAGATATAAATTAATTCATTCATTCATTACATTTATATAGCACTTTTCTAGGCACTCAAAACGCTTTACATTGTCAGGGGGTATCTCCTCATCCACCACCAGTGTGCAGCATCCACCTGGATGAACTCAAACTCATAATTGCATGAAAAATTGTGAGATTAAGTCAAAATTAACTTTTTCTCCTCATCCACCACCAGTGTGCAGCATCCACCTGGATGAACTCAAACTCATAATTGCATGAAAAATTGTGAGATTAAGTCAAAATTAACTTTTTTTTTCTTTTTATTCCATGGCAGAAACAAGCCTTTACAATTATCAATGCACCAGTTTAACGAAAAATAAAATAAAGAAATAAATCTCAAAATTCACATTTGAATCCTAATATATCTTTCTTATCATCCCCTTTGCTTCATTGTTTTTAATGCTTTTCACTCCAGGTTTGAACCAAAAAGCTGTTTTTTGGACCCCACTGTATATAGAGATCATAACTGTGTCACTGAATTGTAAATGAGTGATTCCTTAGTTCCTTCCTATAGCACTCGAGGGGAAAAACACATAACTTGATCAAGGTGCGACAGGGCTTGAACATACGCATGGGAATGACGAACACAAACTCCCATAAACAGCACAGAATAAGGAGCATTACTCTCCCCAAGCCAGATGACTGACATCAGCTTCACAACAGAACCTTGAGTTAAGTTTGGCAGTACAAGTACAAACTACACAGCATTCGATACTAAACAAAATGGCATTGTTAAAACAAAAATACTGAGAGGGACGATTAGAAAAACACATTAAAAGTTAAAAACAGTATTTTGTTCATGTAAGGCAAAATCAGGTCCTCTCACAGTGAAGTGTTCAGCAGGTTTCTGCAGCAGCTCGAGGGTCACATATTTACTGACCACCGTTGAAGCGTACATTTCAGACATAACATTCGAATAAATAACGTATGCGTACAGAAAGTCACGCGACAGTCCACAAAAACACCAAAAGATGGGTCACATTTCTATTTAGAGACTGCTGTCCTCCTGCAAGAAACTTGATACCGAAAGAATGAAACCGATCGTGACATCTTGAGATGTTCGGATGATACAAAAAATGCTAGCAAAACGAATCGTCATGGAAGCCATTTTGTTAAAGCAAACTTTATGCCTTCCGGCATACAATGAGCAACGCTCCCTTAAATCCTTGATACACAACCTGGGGGAGTAGTGCTCCTTACATAAATATGATTAAATAATATATATTTATATCCATAATTAAAAAAATAATTATAATAAATACAATCTAAACAAATATGTCGATTTCACACACATCATCACACAGATGGATATTTCTTAAAAGACATGGCATAGTTATGTAAACATTAAAAAAATAGGTGAAATTTGGCAATGTAAATACGAATATACTAATAAACATAGGATGATCCATGAAATCAAAAGGATAAACAACCAAAAAGGAATAAATAGAAACCGCGCATTGGCGACTAGCCAAAACATGAATACATGAAGAGAGTGGATGGCGGATGGTATTGCGCATTGGAAACTATCCAGTGTGGATACAGCACTTCCACCTCCACCACCCCCCCAAACCCTGGCCGCCGCCTCCACCGGCCCCTGGCCACGAGCGGTTTGGCAGCATGCTGTTACGTGGGAGGTTGGGGGGACGTGGACGGCCACTGACCAGATGGTGAACAGAGACGCCATGCAGAGGAATGTCTGGCTTCGAAGTGCATTCACAGCTTCACAGTCGATCCATGCGGAACGTGTCCTCCGTGGCCGGGTCGGCGAGAACCATATCCGGGTCGTTGAGCATGTGCAGTCCGTCCAGTGTCAAGGGGTCAATCTTCAACTCGTCCAACGGGAATTGAGAGTCCGCGTCAAAGCTGACGTCACCAACGCTGGCCAACGAGCTGGTGAGTTCTTTGGAGAGACTCGGCGGAGATTCTCCCGTTACTAATGTGAGACAAATCAAACTGTCAGCTGAAATGCTTATTCCTGGGAACCAGTGTTGGGAAGGTTACTTTGCAAATGTAATAGGTTACAGATTACAAGTTACCTTATTTAAAATGTAATAAGTATTGTAACTATTTTGATTACTTGATTAAAGTAATGTAACTGGAAAAAAGTAATGTAATGTAATGCGTTGTGATACTCTCTACGCACCGCTGCAGATGAAATGAGGAGGAGAAGAGTTGTTGAATAAAGTTGTTACTTTTGTTTTCTTTGTGCACAAAGTATTCTCGTAGCTTTGTAAACTTACAGTTGAACCGCTGACGTCACATGGACTATTTTACAGATGTCTTTGCAACGTTTTTGTGCGTTGATCGTGGTAGTTGTGTTGCTGTCTATGGAGGGTCTGAGAGCTCTCGGATTTCATCAAATATATCTTAATTTATAAGATAAATGAAGGTCTTACGGGTTTGGAACAACATGAGGGTGAGTAATTAATGACAGAATTTTCATTTTTGGGTGAACTAACCCTTTAAGCAAAGTGATATCTAGTTATGATAGCTAGCTACTAGCAAGTGAAGTGTTGGTCATGTTATCTAAGTGCAATTAGAATATAACTAGTTACTGATAAACATTAATAAAGCTGGCTACATAAAAATACCATTATTATATGTAAGCAATTAGGTACTTGAGGCCGTGCAGTAACGTGAATAAATCACGGCTGAAGGGCGCTGTTCGGCACGACCCTAAGCGGAGTGTTTTTGGGGCAACATGTAATGAAAAAAGAAGTGTAATAATGGGAGTAATAATTGACAAGATTTTCATAATAAT